GGTGTTTGGTTCCCTACAGCTAGTCCAGCACTCTGACTTTAGGCACACCATGATCAAAAACAGGAATGAGGTAAGGCTTTTATACTGGCTTTTTGTTAAATCTCCTCAAGCGATCCTAACGTACAGCCAGGAAGGATGTTTGCCCAGGCTATGTTCCTCTTTAGGAAGGTCGGAGGTTTAGAGAGTTCTCCTGACAATGTCAAGGCTCTGGACCAGGTGTGGCTGTCAGGATGTTGAGACAAGGACTCCATCTGAGATCAGCTTCTTTCCTTGCTGTTTCGACCTTTCAGTCAACTTGGAGGCGTTTTGCTACTGAGCAGAGGTAGAGTCCTTTCAGACTCTCACATTCTCCCAGAATGAGTAACTCAGATCTGCTGGTCCAGGCCTTTCTCTATCTCAACACCCAGGCCCTGGGCCTGAGGGTCACTGGCATTTTTTGTGCAATCAGAGTCCAGGCAAGGTAAAGGAAACAGCGCAGAGTGGCTGAAAGTCCCGCTTCTGAGCTAGGCTCTCCTGGGTTTGAATTCTGATTTGATAACCAAACTTAAGCAACCCTTAGGATCTCTGGTTGTAACGGGGTGTGGGGGGGGGGAAGACTGACACTTGCTGCTTCAAGTAGTTGCTGTAAAGGCAAAGAGAACCAATGTTCTGTGTGAAGAACTCAGCACCATGCCTGGCTCACACCAAGAGACCAGCTGCCATCAGCTTTAAAACCTGAAGCATGTACCCCAGTTAGGAGCCCCCCCTTTACGCTCTTCCTTTCTCCCACCTTCTCCTCTTTCCCTTTTGTATTGAATGTTTTTCTTTTCTTCAGGAGGTGTGCATATAAAATAGAGATGTGTTTCAGAAAGTCTAGCTATTAAACTCTAAAATACCCCCCAAACCCGAAAGCCCTGATTACAGCCTGTCAACTCTGCAGGTCACCCCATCATCTCTAGGTCATGCAGTCACACTCTGCAAAGTTAAAGCATCTTGTGGAGCTCAGTCGCTAAGCAACTGCCTAACACAGTGTGCAGGAACTCTGCATCCCTTGGTCATTCAGGCTTATGATGTCTGACTGCCTATCTCTTCAACTCCAGCCATGTTTTAAATAATGGTATGCCAGACTAACCATTTGTTTCTAAGGCAACACTGAACAAATCCAATCCCTGAAACCCACAAAATATTAGCGAGGTAGGTCTTAGTGGTGCATATTTATTGGATTACTTATTTGTATTCTTTTTGTTATACGCACAGGGCAATCTAAAGATAAATTCAAGGCTAGACCCAAGCATGACAAGGACGTCTTCATTCATTTGTCTTGGCTCTCTGGGACTGGCCATCTACACCAGGAAGTCCATTAGTGGGAATACGAAGCAACCAGAGGTTCTGAGATGTGGCTTTGGGGATGACTCCACCCAACCCCCTTGAGGAGTATCTCTCACTCACCCAATGCATTGTTAATGTAGCACTTTGCACCCCACCAGGATATCGTTGCTCTATGCTACAACTGCCCAGACGGGAGGACTTGGGAGAGGAACACAGCTGCTGGTTCAGAAGTGGGAAAGCAGTGGGCACTGAGGAATTTGTCACTGTTCTGTGGTGACATCCCAGGGAGAGGCCACCCAGAGTACACTTCAGAGTGATGGACAGTCATTAATACACACTGGCCTATTTTTAATATTTCTATTATGTGTGTGTGTGTGTGTGTGTGTGTGTGTTTATCTGTGGTGTGTATGTGTATGGGTGTGAACGCCACAGTGCACATGTGGAGGTCAGAGAACAACTTTTGGGGCACTGGTTCTCTCTTTTTACTCTTATGTAGGTTTGGGGGATCAGATTCAGGTCCCGAGATCTGGGACAAACACAAAACCAGAAGCTATAAGATATGTACAAAGGACCTGTAGGGTAAAAAAGATAAAATAAAAATAAAAAAAAATAAAGAAAAGATCAAGTTAAAAAAGAAAAAACCCCGACATGACATTATGAGACAGGGAAACTTCAAAGATGCCATTGAGTTGGTTTCTGTGGGCCATCTACAGCTGGGCATGCAGCCTGCTCTCAAGAGTAGTTTGTTTCCCCAGTGCAACTCCCTTGGAGGGATCTCTGCTCCCATCTGCTGCAGGAGGAAGCCTCTCTGATGATGGCTGAGCAAGGCCCGGATCTATGAGTGTAGCAGAATGTCATTAGGAGTCATTTTACTACTATGGTCTTTTCATAGAACAGTAGTACTTGGTTTTACCCTAGGACCCCAAGCTTTCTACTCTCAGGTTCTCTGTCACCAGAGCAGAATGTGGGTTTCACCCCAGGGGGTAGAATTTCTTTTTCTGAAGTTCCACCCTACCCCATCCTTCACCTCGCCACTTGGCTTCTTGCTGACTTTCTATCTTAAAAGGCATGGCTTCCTCTCCTCCTCTGTACACCATCCTCCCCGAGCCTGCTGTGAATTGGAGCTTGTCTGCCCTGTTTTGCTTTTTCCTGAACTCTAGTAAAAGGTCTTTGTACTTAAAACACAGTAAGAGAAGAAATAAAATTTTGCAAGCCTAGATTTTGTCTGCCTCACCTTATTACTTGCGAAGTTGAGGACGTTCTGTGTGATTTGTGACTGAGTATGCGTCTCCCTTAGAGACAGCACCTTTCAGAGCCTCGACCCGTGGTAATGAGTATCATTTTTAAATTATTGTTTCAGTAGTTCCTCATGTGTGTAAATCCTAATGCTTTACACTTGAATGTAGTCACAGTGTGACTTGCACAAAACAACATTGAAGAAATAGACTTCCGGTGTTCACCAGTTGTCTGGCTCAGCAAAGACATCATTTCCTGGCAAATTTCATGCACAACTCAGTTTCATTTGTCTACATGAATAAAAAAAATCAACAAATAACAGATCAACTACAGACAAACATTCAACAAAAGCCAGAGTGCTCGCTTTGCCAGCACACATACTAAAATTGGAACGGTACAGAGAAGATTAGCATGGCCCCTACACAAGGATGACACACACATTCATGAACTGTCTCATATGCTTTTATGATGGGGAAACCCACAGAGACAGCTAACCCCACCTACCAGGAGCTCACTGACTCTGGACTGGCAGCTGGGGAACCTGCATACGACTGAACTAGGCCCTCTGAATGTGCGTGACAGTTGTGTGACTTTTTAAATTTTAAATTTAAAAAAATCTACAAAAGCTAGAGATAGTGCGGTGTGACTACCCTTTGCTTTTATTCAATTTACAATGCAATATTGCCTATCCTATTGTTATTTAAAAGTTGTATTGCATGTTCTTGATACTTACATGTATATATACTCATATTTATCCTTTGCACTAGTAATGTATATGTATATTCTTGTAATAGATATTTACCTCTTTCCTTCGTGGAAATCTTCCTGTGTATTTCCTAGTAGAGTCCTGGCTCTAACCAGTGTCCCGAAGTAACTGCCCTCTACCAATGACTGATAGGATTCGATGTATAAATACCCCAGCTCTTTACCATCTAGTGGATGACTGGTGGTGTTTTACGTTGCTTCCCAGAACTTTCTGAGGGATTAGCTGCAGTTGTCATCCCGTGGGGGAGCCAACTTGATAGCCCTCCCCTTTTGACTGTCTTCCCTCTGGTCTGATTTCCCATTTCCCTCCTGGTAACATCTCCATCACCCTAATCTACCTACACTTGAATTTTTGTCTCAGGGTCTGCCTGAGATTTGCTGCAGCCTGTTACATCTTTTATTCTTGGGGCCCCTCAATTCTGTCAAAGGTATTTTCCAAGGCTAGACTGTAGAGGAGATCTGGGGAAGTGGTTGACTTGAAGGAAGTGGTTAGATCTCCACTCCTACACACTAAATACATCACATCATTTCAGTGGCTGATTTCATGTGTACATGTTTCTATTCCATGAAGTCTGGGAGAGCAGGGAACATGTCTTATGGTATCTTTGGCATGTAGCATCATGTCTTCCATGGATGGTGGGAATAGAAACTAGTTTAGAAGCAGACATTTTAGGATTTCCCTATGAAAACCCTGAGAGAGGTAGAAGCCCCAGCAAGCTGGTGAGACATCCATATGTAGGACATGTAGGATATCCAGTGTTGGGGTAGCAGAAGGCAATCGAGGGTGAAACTCTGTAGACCCACACGCATAGAGAATACCTAGAGACCCCATGTCTGAATTGTGTAGGGTTACAATTCTACAATTATGTAGAGTCCCATAAAGGGACTCATACAAGTTAGCAGTTGCTGCCAAGGCACTTTGGGAGTTGGGGTGGAGGCAGAAAGGCAGATTTTTGTCGACTTGTACCTGAGATGGGATGACTGAGTGTAGAAAGTGTGTTTCTTCTCAGTTCCTAGAGAGATGCTCAAGTCAATCTATTTATTTACTTTTCAGATTAACTAAGCAATTGAGTAATTTGTGTATGTATTCATATGTGAGGGTTGATGTATGCCACATGTGCAGGATGCTCACAGGGACCAGAAGAGACCACTATATCCCAGGAGCTGGAGTCACAGAAGCCTGTGAGTTTGTCCAACACAAAACCAAACCGTGTCCTCTGGGGGTGCAGCAAGTGCTCCTAATGCCTGAGCCATCTCTCCAGCCCCTCAAGTCATTTTAGCTAAAGAAAATGCAATGAACTGTGTAGCGGGCCTTTGCTTGGCATACCACTGACGCAGTGAGCAAGGAATGCTGAGTCCCAGAGGAGCGGCAAACAGCTTTGACCGAAATTTGACACAGGGAAATCCATTAATGTAAAAAATGCAAAGATAGGCATAGAAAGATGGCAGTCTGTACACACACACACACGCACATACACACAGGGTGGGGAGGGAGGGGAGAGAGAGAGAAAGAGAGAGAGAGAGAGAGAGAGAGAGAGAGAGAAATAGAGAAAGCATTTGTCAGCATCCTTCATACCTCACACCACTAAGCACTAAATTCTTGGATTTCTTCCCCATAAACGATCACGTACATAAATTTATAACAAAATGGAGCCAAAATAAAACACGATGAAAGAGAAATGTATGCATTTCTTTAAAGTAGCTGTACATAAGATTGTTTATTTATATTACAGAGCAGGCCGTTTTCCTTCTCGAAAGGGGGTAAATTTATCCACATAAAAAAGCATGATCCTAGTCACTGTTTCCTGTGGAGTCACAACTATTGGAAATGCTTGGTCTTTCAGATTTAACCTCTAGCCTCTGTGTGTCGGATGCTGGGTATTCCTAGCCTGTTGTTGGTCCCACATAAAGGTGAGCTACTTCCAACCAGGACAACCTTAGCTCTTGCAAGCCCCACTGTGGCATGCATTTTAGAAAAACTCTTGGAGTCTTCTTTTGAGGCCTTGACGTGAAGCAGAGAATAGTGTATTTGGGGTCCGAAGGTCAAAAGCAAGGCTTTTAAAAAGGTTTCTGCCCCTCCCTATGGTGATGGGATAGAGTTACCTCTGAGACTGGCTTTCTGCTCGTTTCTCCCTCAGGCTGCGACCCACTGAGGAGGTTTTGCCTGCTTCCACCCTGCCAGCACCCGCCACCCTCTAACCAGCCCATCCTTCTCCAAGTGAAGACATGTCTCATATTTTGTATTTTCTTCCTTACGTTTGTGTTAAGGTCTTTGGTAGGCATCAGACGATGCTTGCCAGGGGAGTAAGTTTTACAGCAAACATCTTAGTCGTCACTGCCCACTTCGCTTTCCTAGTAGTGAGTATAATAGGGAACAGGGTTTTAATGTCTTTTGTTGATTATCTATGGAGGTCCTGATGGCTTCTGAAGAGTTTTACAGAGGTCTCATTCATCGTGATCTTAGGAAGCTAAAATGACATGCCCAAGCTCGCCCAAGCTCGCCCAAGCTCTCTCAAGCTACGAGTGGCAGAACGACTCCAAGTTCTTCACCACTGCATTATCGTCCAGAATCAAGACCAAGGGCTCTTAACCGTTGAAGGTGTTTGGTTTTGTTCAGGCTACAAAGCTCAGGCTGGCTTGGAAATTGTGATCCTCCTGCCTCTTCCTCTTGGCTGCTGAAATTACAGGCATGTGCTACTACTTTTTATTGCCTTTCACTCAGGAAAATTTGGTGGTCACATTTTAATCCCTGAGCTAATTTGATGACCACTTAGAAGCGTGTCTATGACCTACAAACCTCTCTTAAGGATGCCATAAACAGAATATATTAGATGGCAATGTTCTTGACTATCTCAAGTAAGCCATCCAAAACAAATTATGCAGTCATTTTCAGCCTCCCTGTGGAGTGTGGAGAGCTGAGCAATCATGATTCACATTCTGCAATTTCTGCCCTTAGACTTGCTCTTCCACAAGTCTCATATGGAAGCACTAAACTGATGGGGTAAAGAGCAAATTAATTTTATCCTGAAATGGCCCAGATTGAGTTTTAAATGTTATTCTACCTCTATTTTTAGCCTTCCTTAGTAGCCAAAATGTTATATTCTTGATAATAAGGAATAAATTATAAATCCCCATACTTCTTAAAATAGATTTCACTGAAACTTCACTAATCTCTTTGAGTACATTTATAATAACATAAAAGCTATACAAACTTAATAGCAAGTAGAATGTTTGCACACTAAAAATATCAAACTATTACTGAGTCAAAAAAAGAGGAAGAGTTAAATCAATACAGGGATCCTGTTTGTGTATTGGAAGGGTCGCTGTGTGAAGAGGGTAGGTGCAAGATGACCTGTAACAGAAGTAAAAAAGCTGTGACTGAGACAAGTCCAGCCCACCACCTGCCTTTGTGAATAAGCGTTTATCAAACACACCCACACCATCCATTCACCTATTGCCTATGGCTCTCCACCCTTAAAACATCAAAAATCTTTAAACACAATCTCAGTCAAAATCCAGTTGGTTGCTAGTATGCCATGTATGTGTGTGTGTAGAAACTGAGTAGAGTCTAAATTAGTATGGAAATGCAAAAGATCTGGAATAGTTTGTAATGTTGAAAATGAATAGCCCTAAAGCAACTCCATTTGATGTTTAGAGTTAACCTGGACCACTTGGACCTGCCACGCAGTTGGTATCTCTTCTAAACCTTGAGTCTTCTCCTGTTCTTACTATCCTCTGCAGAAGAACCTGCCTGGATGATGCAAGTCTTTGATGAGTGTGCACACGGAGAGTCGGGGGCGGCTCTTTTCCTTAGCTCCCAGGATGCAGTTCAGTTCCCATGAAGGGCTGAGCGTGGGTGAAAAGGGGAACACATTGCCTTGCCCCGTCCCCCTGAGGTCTGTGTAGATTAGATCTCCAGTGGTTTTAGGTGGGATGTGGGTCACGCTGTCCCTGGACTGAACATCTCTCTCCCACACGAATTCTTCTACTTCCACCTCCTCTGCTACAAGCATGCCAATCTCACTGTTTCTCCTCCCCTGCTAGGGGTAATGTGTGGTAAACTCCAAACCCCTTCCTTTCTTGTTCTGTTCACATATTTCCATCCAAGGATGCTCCACCCACATAAATGGCCCCCTTCTACCTATGCTAAGGATTGACACCCAATGCCTTAAAAACAACCCTTTTTCATTGTTCAGTCTGCAGATATCCTAAGGACTTCTTTCAGGGACTGTTTGAAGAGGCTGACCTAGCTGTGTGCTTGTAAAGCCCAGGATAGCTGCCATGTTCCACCTGACCTGGCCTTGTCAGGATGGTGCAGCAGTTGAGGTGAAGTGGCTCTGCAGTCAGTCACCTTTGCCAGTTCTGCAACTTTCTGTAAATGTTTAACTTCGCCATGACCTTAGCTGTTTCAGCAATAAAACGATGGTGGAAAACCCACACTTGCCTTGTACTTCCTTATAGCGTCGTGCTGAGTATCTGCTGGGAAGAGAAACAAAATGAAGATAGCAACCAAGAAGTGTTCACCATTCTTCTTGTTGTTAGATATTCTTTCCAGGATGAGGACTGTCTGCTTACTTCTGAGTTAACACCGGGTAGATGAGAAGGAAGGTCCCTTCCAAGGACATTCAACTATCCAGGGAGAGGAGCTTTTCTAGGACTAGAGAGTCATCGCAATCGGCAGGTGGCTGTCTTGACAAGCAGAGAGCAGTGTGGTCATACAAAGGAAGACATCCTTTTTAGAGACAGGGAGGGATACTTCAGAATGTGCCCCGACACTCTTTGACCCAACTGTGTAGCTCAAGTCTCCAAAGAACACAAAAAAATTGCTTTCTGCAGGATTCTCCTGATTTATTGTTCATATGTATCTTACTCATTTAGAAATTATTCAAGTTGCCACCAGAGGAAATTATTTTAAATGGAATAGTTAAATGCTTTAATGCAGTGCATTTCCTTTTGGAAAAATGAATGTTATAAATAGGAGTTTAAAGATTCTAAAAGCTATAGGTGTAGAATAGTAAACAAACTGAAGTGTTGGGACAGTGTGAGAGAACACTGTAACTTCTACCCAACATCCAGGCATTTAGGCGACTGAGAAATGACAGGATTCTGGATCAACCACCAATAGAAAAGACTCCTGATGGAGACGAGCGAGCGACTGATGCCCAGACATCTCTCTTGCCCTGGATAAAGCCGTGAGCCAGCTTTATAGCAGGGAACACTTTTTTCTCTAGTAATAGAATTGATTATTGGAAACAGTTTGGATATGAAGATATTTTCTTTTTTCTTTTCTTTTTTTTGTTTTTTGTTTTGTTTTGTTTTTCGAGACAGGGTTTCTCTGTAGCTTTGGAGCTCTTGTAGACCAGGCTGGTCTTGAACCCACAGAGATCCATCTGTCTCTGTCTCCCAAGTGCTGGGATTAAAGGCGTGCGCCACCACCGCCTGGCCAAATATTACTTCTTTTTAAAATCTCATTAGTTTGAGGAAAACATCATTTTCCTTATTTTTGAAGTTTCAATACTGAAAGATCAACTGGACTAAAAAAAAAATTACTCTCATACGAGGAGGAAAATGCCCTAACATTACAAGAATCCAGTTCAGCTAATAGTTATAGATAAATGTTCCCCAAATCTCAGAGGATTTTTGTTTCTCCTCAGAGTGCATTTCGAGGCTCTGTGTGGTATGTGTTGGGGGTTCATCTGCAAATCCTTCCAATTTCAGATTTCCTGGGCTAGCAGAGAGGAGGAACTTGGTAAATGGAGGAGGTGCCTGGCTACGGAGTCTATGTGGCTGGCAGAGCTATGGGGTCTCTGGCTTCTATCAATGATCTCTTGGTCTAACTGCAAATTAGCATGAGAACCAGAATTCAGCTGTCTGCTCAAAGAGAGGAGGATACAAACTGGATGAGCCAGATTCTGTCATAAAAGTTACACAAAAGGCCATGTTAGCAGCAGGCAAGCTACAAACTACCCCACATGGCTTTCCTTTTAGTCTGCACTGACTGCTTTGAAAATTCTTATTAATTCAAAGTTTTGACTATCGAATCATTTCACTGCCAAAGAAGGAGATCTACTATTTTAGGTTTCTCTCTAAATATCAAAGTCTAAGATATTTTCTGTTTCTGTGCTTCCCTTTTGTCTTCAAATGGTCCAAACTGAGCAGCGGCTGCCCCAGAGCTTAGACAGAGAGTCTCCAGTTTGCCTTGCAGTTCATTGAACTCTGAATTGGCCTGATCCTCAAAGATGCCAAAACCACAAGCAGACAAGAGGAAGGGAGAACAAGGAAAGGTCGTACAGAAGTAGACTCGTCGGGAGTAAGCTGATGTCAAGCCTGGGGTTTTCAGGGCATCCAATGACTCTCGACCAAGCGGAAGTCTATAGGTTCAGGACAAAGTGGGCTAAGAGATGTGGCAACCTTTTACCTCTCTGGCTCCCAGGATTGAACCACAGGGTATAGGTCTTAACTGGGGGCATTTCAGTCCTAGAAAGAAACACAGTGGGTAGATTCCAACAGATCAATAGCAACAGCAAAGGCACAGAGATACAGCTCTTGGGAGGATGTCCAAACCCAAGCTGGCTAGCTAACTTGAAGCGGGAGGCAAGGATTATAGCGGGCATCTGTGAAGCGTGTGTCCGCCCTTCAGGATGGATTAGCCTGCAGTGAGGGTAGACTCGGGAGTTGAAAGTGATGAAATGGACAAGAGGCTTCCAAGCTGATAGCAGAAAATGCTTTTGGAACGATTACAGGGCAGCCCTTTGAGGGTTCAAGGATTCTCACTCTCCCAGACTCCCCCTTGTTCTGAGCATTTCCCAGCCAATGAGGACGGTCTACAGCAGGTGGCGCAGGACCCGCCTACCCATGGTGATGTTGATCCCAGGAGAAACTGTGGCCAGAAGGTCCAAAAAGGCGAGGTGACTCATTCTTCCTGCCTGGGTCATTTCCATGAGTCATGCACTTGAATCTAGTCCTAATCGTGGAGAGAGCAACATCAAAAGGGCTGTCTATGATCTTTTTTATCAACATTTGATGCAAACAAAATCCTCTTTCCTAGGATCATCGCCGAACGTGTTTATCTAGCCTTTTCATTCCGTTGCCATTTCTTCCCCAGCTTCTGAATGGAGGAAGGAAAAGGAGGCTCTAGAAGACACAAAGAAAGGTTAAGATGGCTCAGTCATCATCTCAGCCTGGAAGCAACAACTCTCCTTGGAGTAATCATGACTTCTTACTGATTGCTTCTCTGCTCTGTTGGTAAGAGAGTGTAAACAGAGGCTTTTCTGCCCAAATAATCATTCAGAGGCTAAATATTCATTACAAACCGTTTGACCTATTCCTCAGGCTTATTACTAACGAGCTCTTACAACTTAAATGAACCCATTTCTATTTATTAATCTACATTTTGTCACGTGGCTTCATGGCCTTGCCTGTTCTCTAGTATATCATGTTGCTCCAGGGGCTCCCTGGCATCTCCCTGACACCGCCCATCTTCTCCCTGTATCTACTTGGCTTTCCCACGCAGTTCTAGCCTGCCTTGCTATAGGCCAAAGCCTCTTCTTTATTAACCAACGGTAATAAAATATAGTCCCAGCCTACAGAGGGGCTATCCCACAGCGAGAGTACACCGTTCAGATCTCCTTTGCTGGAAGAGAAAAGGAATGGGTGGGGTGATTCGAAACACTTAGACTTTGGTGTCGGGAGGATGGAGTTGAGCCCTGAACTTACCACTGTTTAGCTGTGCAACTTCATGCAAGAGACTTGAGTGGGTTTAAATTTAGCATTTACATCTGTAAAACAAATGTAAAAAAAATAGTATCGATACAGTGTTGACATGTCTGTCATTGATTAAGCTTCTAGTCTGTGCCAGATACTGACTTACGGACTTTGAGTGTAATGTCTCATTTGTCCTCTACTGCAGTCTCAGACATGAGTTCCATGACTTGGCCCCTGATACACAGAGTTAGGAGAATGTGTCCAGGGTCATGAGAATAGAAAGCACTGGAAGCAACATAATTTCCTCCTCCAAGTGTTCGGAGGCTGGTGAATAAGCTAAAGCATTAGCTCCCTGTAAGCTCGCAATGTATAATAGATTTTAAGGTAAAGGAGAAAAAGGGAAAGAATTCCCTTCCAACGGCTTCAATAGCTAATTCCTTCTGTTTCAAACAAATGAGCCATTCTGTCACCAACCCACGATGTGAGAGTAACTTCTAGTATGCCCTACATCTTAGTTCAAGTTACTCAGAATCATAGAGAGTCTTCATGAAAAGACTATGAGTGTCACCTGATGCTAGGCTAGCACACATTTTGTTCAAGAAACTTCTCTGTTCATTTTTTCAACCGACTACAACGAAGCCTGCAAGCTATTGAAAATCTACTTTCCACAAACCTTAGGCGTGGACTTCAGAGCACAACACAAGTGTTTTCCTTCATGCGTGCTTTACAGACATGTGTTTCATGCATATGTTTGTTTGTACACACACACATTCACACACACACACACACACACACACACGCACACACACACACACACACACACGCCTACCTACTTGGCCACGTTGAAAGTGATTCTGCTTAAATCCTTCTTGCCAGCAATGCTGATCTCTGCAGTGGCCAGTGTGTTAGACTCTTTGGGATGTCATAGTTAACTGAAGCGACAGAAATTAGTTTTTTACTGTTCTGGTGGCCAAAAGACTGAGATCGAAGTGCTGCCTGGTGCCATTTTTGAGGCCACTTCCTTTCATGGCTTACAAGCTGCCACCTCCTTGAATCCTCACATGACCTGTCCTCTGTATGGACTTGTAGAGTCTGACCTTTCTCTCTCTCTCCTTGCTTTTCCTCCTCCTCCTTTCCCTCTTCTCCCCTTTCTCAGTGCTTCTGGACTATGCCCACACCCCAATGACTTCCTTACCATGTATGGCCCTCTTAGAGCTCTCCAAATGCCTTCTAGAAGAGAATTAAAGCCTTAACACGGGAATCTGAAGAGGACGATTTAGTTCATAAAGAGCAACTGAGGTTGGGACCAACTGAGGTTGGGACCGTGTATTTCAGAAAGCTGTTCACAAATTATTCTCATTTTCCATGGATGGAGGTCATCTGTTCACCAGTCATTAGAAAAGGCTGTGAATGGGGCCTGTATTGTATACAACCCACGGGCTACATAGAGTAGACCAAATCTCTCCTCTCCTCTCCCTCTCCTCTCCTCTCCTCCCCTCCCTTCCTCTCCCCTCCCCTCTCCTCTCCTCCTCTCCTCTTCCCTCCCCTTTCCTTCCTTTTCCTTCTTCTCCCTCCCTTCCTCCCTCCCTTTTTTCTAAAGCAAGGGAAAGAACTACTGGAATATGGAGTGTTGCTAGCCTCCCCAAGATTAAATCTTGGCGGCTGCTATACTCCTAATGCTGAAAGGCACGTGAGAACTTAGGTAAGTGTTAGATACAAAATGCCTATTTTCCAATGGCTTTACTTCTTTCCTGTGTCTGTCTCATGCTAAAGAGACAGACAGCTGGATGTCCTGACTAAGCATGGATGTGTTTTCACACGGCTTCAGAAATCTCAATAGCGCCGCTTTGGTGAGTTTAGAGAGATTCATTAATTCTTTTCAGGCACTATCTAAAACTCCTGGATATGCGAGTGTGCCATTCTCTCACTTTCTGACTTTATTAGCGTCCCCTTTGGCTACAGTATGTCCATGGGTATGTGTGTGATTATGTAGGCGGGGATGCAGGCACAGCCAGATGGCACAGCTAGGAAAAAAGTAGGGATTTCTATTTGTGAAAGCCCAGATAGCGTTGCTTCTAATGTTTAAAATCAGATCTATCTATAAGGCTGTTGTCTTGAGAGTAAATTTTCAAAAAATAATAAATAAATTTCTTCTAGAAATGAAGTGCTAAGACCTTACACCCTACTGATTCCTCTCACAGATAGAGGAGCCAGACAATTCCCAGAACTCCTGTGTGTGTGTGTGTGTGTGTGTGTGTGTGTGTGTGTGTGTGTGTGTGTAAGAGAGAGAGAGTGAGTGTGTGCGTATGAGTGTGTGTGTGTGTATGTGTGTGAGTGTGTGTATGAATGTGTATATGTGTGTGCACACATATGTTTGTATCTAGCATGATGAAGGGGCACAGAAGAGTCACACATAATGATATTTGTGCCTTCGAGGTCTTTGAACAGGTGGAGGGGTCATCCAAGAAGAAAACAACTCCTTTCTATTAAGTCAGTCTGCCACGAGCCTGGCTAGTCACAGGGAGCATTGAGGTCTTATGCCTTGTTTTCTGAGGAGGAAGTGCCTGCGAGGCTCCTGGGGTCACTGGGACTCTGGCAGCAGAGACAGAGAACTAGCTCACTAGTTACACACCACTGGTAGACAGAGACTAGTAGGCAGGGGTCACTATGCCTACCACGTCCCACTGGAAGCTATGCCATCATTTACATCTCAAAATCCTGCAAGTTGTAGTCATAGCTACTTCCTTCTTCCCATTTACCAGTTTGGGGGGGGGCAGTGTGAGGAGAATGAGAGCAAAGACAGTGGGGCAGAAGGGAAGGAGGAAGCCTTCCAGAAACTTGAGAATTTTTATTTGAGAATCGCCAAGTATTACTCAAAGCACTCTACACTGAGAGGCTCATGACTGGTTTCCACAGAATTGCTTGACTTTTCTGACCTCATACCTTGAAACACATCTCTGTCTCCTCCCATATTTTATCCATCGCAGGTATCTATTCCCTGATAAAGAAACTTGTCTGGAGAAGATGGCTGAGTGGTTAAGAGCTTTGCCTGCTCTTCCAAAGGTCCTGAGTTCAATTCCCAGCAACCATATGGTGGCTCACAGCCATCTGTAATGAGACTTGGTATCCTCTTCTGGCCTGCACTGTATACATAATACATAAATCAATCAATCAATCAATCAATCAATCAATAAAACCAACAAAGTTACTCACGCCAAGCTGCAAGCTCCATGGCAAAAGGGCAGTAGGCTTTATGCTTCTGGGTGTTCAAATAGTATTAAAAAAAAAGAAGAAGAAGAAGAAGAAAGAAAGAAGCTTGTCATCTGATGCCATTCCCTCACTAACAAAGACTTGTCCATATTTCAGTAAGGGCTCTCTTTAGAATTTATAAATTTCAGATTAGATGATGTGTTCTAAATATAGACCCTCCAGAAAAGAGACACCGGTGTCACGCACTCTTTGTCTGGATCAGACAAGCACTCACACAGGTGAGAGTAGATTTTTCAGTCAGGAAAATCCTGGGCCTGGGTGTTTCCAGCCAAATGCTGACAGCCGTGAGCTTTTTACAGAAGTAGAGGATTTTATTTGAGGATATCAGCTTTACAGATCTCTCTTTTTTTCCTTGATCCTAATTATCCACATATTTTTAACCCCTTCTGAGTCTGAAACATACTGTGTACAGAAGCACTTCCTGGCTACGATGCCCGTCTTGTTTCCCAGTTCACTGTGTGGGTCTGAGTCATTCTTTACATCCCAGTTCCGGGTCCTCCTTTATTCATGAGTTCCTCCTCCCTCGGTCCTTTAGTACAGAGATACTTTACAAATGTCTGCACATTCCACAAACGAATACTGAATCCTTGAAGGTGTTTCGACTTTCTCAAAAAGATAACCCCAGGATTGACTTGAGTCAAAAGATAAAACAGCTCAGAGGAATTGCTTACTGTGTTTCTATTTCTCTCTAGTGGAAAGTCCCAGCTGGTTATCAATTAATAGCGAGTATCAACAGCGGTTTATCTAGCCCTAACAGAGAACATGTCTGGAGATAACTCCATAGACCAAGCCTATTGTGAAACAGCCTGAATTCTGACCAGTTCACTCCCTCTCCGGCGTCAGACTAATCGCTTAACACTTGCAGCGCCATAGGTAGGAAGCGAATTCTGCTATCAGTAAATCTGAACGTTAAGAATCCAGTTATCCTGTTACCACGGTCCAGCAGTCAGCAAGCGGGTTGAGAGCCGAGTACCTGGGCTCCTGGCTTTGTGTGTTGTGCCTTTAAGGATCTTTGGGAAGAAAGCAAAGATATGAACACAAAGGAGCCATTATAAGAGTCTCCGTGTTTACGTTCCTGGCTTGTATCAAGGTCAAAGGAAAGCTAGACAAGGGCAGGGCTTGGACAAGTGACAGGACAGAATGGCAGCAACAGTGCTGGGTGAGCCATTATTTGTTCCAAGTGCCAAACCTTGCTACCATCTTAGAGCCCTTTGTCCCTTTTTAAGAAAAAAATAGGTTGCTAGCACTGCATGGAGGGAGGTTCGAGAGTTTGTGTCAGTAGGAAGAACGCTAATCAATCTCATGCCCATTTGTAGTTCAGTATTTGACAAACTCGATTTAGAGACCAAGGGTTCCTTTCCTTAATAACTGGGAGGGGACAGACAATTATGGGGTGGCACGCGATAACAGATTTTCTGGTGCCTGAACGGAAACCCTGTAGCTGGGGGTAACAGAAGCCATATTCTTTTGGTGATTTGGATGGCCAAATCCATACTCCATGGCACCTTCTGATAGGCACCTGAGAGGTGTCCACCCTCCATGTTATGACTGCTCTTTCCCAAAGCCTGCTCAGTGAGGGCATGAGTGTAGGGCGGAACTTAAGCATATTAACGTTTTGTTAAACTGGTCAAGGAACTGTCTTTGGTTAGAAGTTTTTTGGGGAAGTTTCTAAGTCTCGTGATTGCCAGGTATTATGAACAAAGATGCCCTATTTTACCCAGGATTAAAAATAAAACCATTCTCCCCCTCCCCATCAGGGGCATTTTAAGTTCAGCAAGGGTGTCCGTTGAGAAACACAGATTAAAGGCTGGCTTCGAAATTCCTAATTCAGAGAAATAGGTGATTGGCTATTCCATGAGAATTTTCACAAATAATCCTTGAACTGAGTGTTCTAGAAGCAACTGCCTGCATAAGGTGGAGACAGTGGCATGGGGAGGAGAGGAGAAGAGAGGGGAGAATGGAGACATGTATCTGAGGAATGGGGCCTTGGGATATCCAGACAAATTGTTCTGAAGGAAGAACCTGACAGACGAACTGAAGGAATGAACTCAGTCTCTGGAGATGTCTGAGCCAAAACAAGTTTTAGGGCTTTGATGATAGGGAGGAAATGTATTATGAACCTTAAGATAATGAACATCAAAGCCACACAATTTGGAGGAAAAGAACATTACTGTCAAGTTTTAAGTTTTGAAAAATAAATGATAGTACGGTCTTTGGCTTATCAGGCTGAAAGTGGATAGTTAGATGTCTCAAAAGAAAAGAAAAGGAAAAGGAAAAACCTTATAAGCATATACAGAAAATTCATCATGATAATGCAGCAAAAGTACGTAAATTTATCTCACACAAATAAAATTAAAGTAGGAATAAGTCATAGTCTACTCTTAATGAAACATCCATTGTAAATGAGAATCTTTAGCCATTGTGTAGAAATCCAGAATCAGGTTTTAAAAAGTCACATTTATGGATATTATTTTTCACAATTTAGCTAAAAAAATCCTACTATAATACCTATTATTTAAGTCTGTTCACTTTATTCCTGTATAGAAAGGCAGAGGGGAATGAGCGGTAATCTCATGGCAAGGTTCAATGAGGCAGAGAACATATCCTGGACACTGAACTTTGCTGCCAGGCTGAAGATTGTCCAAAAGAAGTCTTTTGAATTAATCAGAATTTACCAACAAATAGATTTCAAAATGGAACTTGGAAGAGCCCCAAGTGCAAGAGAGCAAGAAACACAACCGTCACCTGCGCTTGCCTTTAGGAGATGCATGTAAACTGAATGGCAAGGGGACAGAGAGAAGAAACCCGCCCATCCACTGACTGCTGGGTGTCTTCAAGGCAGGGTCTTGGGGTACGGGATGGAGGCTTTCTATGCTGGCGTGAGAACAACCTCCATGCCAGAGCAAGCAGACCAAGCCACTGCCTGTATTTCCAAAGGGGCCCAGAGCCCAGGAATGCTACTCAGTGTTTGACGGTACTTTCCAAAGCAAGAATGGGTACAGAAAAGGAAGGAGACTAAGGAAATCTTACCAGGGAACTTCTTCTATTTCACCTGTCTTTGGGATAAGGAAACTATCATAGCATCAGGCCTAAGGGGAGACTATACCACAGCTGGAAGACATATATATGACCATGAAGTTTTATAAATTTCCTGCACTGCATTCTCATCCGTGAAACATAGAGCTGGACTAAATGGCTTCTGTCCACTCTAACGTGTTATTGTTTCATGAAGCCTGTTTTCACACCGATCCTCATCCCACACAACGCGATCCCATCCAGAAGGCAGAGGTCTTTCAGGCCTGGTAAACCACAACTGCTGGACATGGCCCTCGTGGCTGCAGATTTCTATGGTTCCTGTGGGCAACATCCAGCTGTACAAGGAAGGAGCCACAGAGGCAAAGGGAAGGACACTGGTGAGCAGTAATTCAGAAATGAGACTCTTGGCTTCGCTCTCGTGTCAGTCTGAAACTGGGCTCCTGTTGGAGACACAAGACCTTTGAGCAGTGTTCCGTGTGTTTGTTCTACTTGTATCAAAGAGACTTTCATTTCCCCAGGGCAAATTATTAACACATTCCTCCAAAAATGGGAGGGTGGAGGCCCGGCCTTGGAGGAAAAAATAATCACCGTTATAGTAAAGTTATATGCGTGAGATGCAAACTTAGCAGACACTGGCATGAAAACCTGCACTTGTAATCACAGGGGTTGGCTGAACACCAAGGCCTTTGTGCCCAGGGAAGCATATCTGGGTGATTTCTTGTCTGGAAGCTGACCCGTCTGTGCCCAGGAATTTTCCACTAGGAAGCTGGTGGTGTTGGAGGTGGGGACCTTTGAAGGCACCCACAGCTGGTCACCCTCAACCTTAGCGGGAGACTAAATGGTGATGGCTGACTGAACGGTGACTCTGGGTTCCAGGCTGTAAATTTTCGTCTTTCAAGATGATTGATTGGGTTGAGGAGAGGAGGGGAGAGCAGGAGTGTGGGGGTAGAGTACTGGGGGAGTCGTAGGTGGGGGCAGAAGGGAGGCCAACCAACCACGCTTACAGTTAAGACTTAGATACAGTAACAGACATGAAATAGACAGTATATCCTTGGGCCTTCTCTAATGGATCACTCCCCAAGGCCAAGGCTTGCAAAAAATTGTTTTCAGACAGTTTTCTAAAGCGTGTTTGCCTAATTTACGGGGTCCATATGATGTTCGGGCACCGCCTCTGAGGTACAGCTCAATGAGTTGTATGCAGAAAAGGGCCTGGTGCATGAAGGTACACTAGGGCGTATTTGTTGACCCCAGCTCAGACTTCGTTTGTGTCTATCTTTTTAATAATCTTTCCAGGTAACACCAAAATACGTGATACCTCAAGAGTCACACTCAGTGACTGTGAAAAACGAGATGGAGGAACAGTGTAAACATATTGTTTGTTATTAGTTTCAGAGCGAAGCTAAGGGTACAACTGGGATTTGAAAATCTTCCTCCGGCAGAACAGCCCAAAGGTTTTTCTACAGAAACAGCCTGGGGTCTCCAACTGTTTTGTTATCTGAAGCTGAGAGCTTGGTTGTGGACTGAGGATCCATGTTATCCCTACATCGAGAGGACATCACCAACATCCCAGGACACACATTATCCCTACATCCAGAGGACGTCACCAACATGCCACTACTTCACGTACAGATTTATAAAACTTTAGTTAATGGCGGCCAGTGTCATTTATTCTCTTAGTATCTGGCTGCCTCAGGGGTGTTTCCCAGCTGTAGTTGGGTTGCTGTTATAATCACTGGAGGTGATGAATTCAGGAACGGATGCTCAGAGTGTGCAATTCATCTGTTTCCCTCTCCAGGATCCTTGCTCTACACCTGTGGTTCTCAGGAAGGGTGAGAGTTTTCAGCACTCCAGGTCAAGGCTGGCCATGTTTAGAGACATTTCTGGCTGCTGTAAGTCAGGGAGAAGATTCCTCTGATATCTCGTGGGTATGCAGGATGCTGATTGCCCTAACGTGCTCCAGATGCCCCTCAACAAATAATTACTGATAAAAGCAGGTGCTAGAAACTGGTTGGGCAGTTTCGGGGTAAGGAACCCAGGAAGAAGACAGTCTTTACAAGGCCAAAAGCTGGAACTGTCCCAAGGCTTGTTGGAAGTTCTGTCCTTGACAAAGGCCAGGGATGCCAGAAATACTTCAGCCAAAATGTCTGGTTGTACCTTGGCTGAAAGCCAGGTTGCCAGGTGGGAGGTTTCTGGTTTCTCATTATCTCTGTTTCTCCTGGAAGCAATGTGCAAGAAAAGGACCAAAACTGAGAGGAAGCACCTGGACGCCTCACCACTGGGCCAAATGAACTGACCAGCGCCTCGCCCTCCCCATGTCTCACCACAGTTTCTGCTAAAAGTCTATAAAAAGCTCAGCTTAGGTGTTAAACGCCGTCCCATATCCCAGGACTTGCTCCTGCCATGTAGGAGCTCTGCCTTCTTTCTTACAAGTGCCCACCTGTGAAGTTTCTAAACTTGTCCTCTGGTTGACCATGAATTTATCCTTTGAATTTGAAAGACCAGAGGCCACAAGAACTCAGAGGCCACTGGCTCAGTAGAAGCAGAATATGAGCACAGCGTCTGTCACCCTAACTCCTGAATTAAGTCCCATCTGAGATGAGTGAGAAATCTTCCTTCAAATTAAAAAAAAAAAAAATCTGACTTTCCTCATGTCATTATCTACCTCCAAGTGTCAGTAACTCGAAGGCTGAGAAACCTAACTTCACGTATTCTTGTGTGGGGAATCCCCTTTACTGACTCTAGTAGTGGTTTGAATAAGAATGGCCCCATAGGAAAGACTTGAGGAAGAGACTCCTCTAATTGAATTGTTGGCCAAAGGGTTTTATGGGAACCCCCAAACAACCCAGGTTGTTGCCAAAGCTGTGGGTTGCTCTCCAAAAACTGACAGCAAGGTCCTATTGCTGAAGACAACACCTACACAACTCATTAAACATGGAGAAGTTGAGTGGATGCCTACATAGAGCCTTCACCCCTACTGACTTAGAGCTCTTGGTACCAGACGGTACTCTGAATGCTACCAAAGGAGAAATGTAAATACCAAAACGGTTACAGAACCTTTGATTTACAATGGTGTCCTTGCAAGATAGGCTAGTGCAAGGGTAGACTTACACCTGACATTGCTCTGGTGACCAAGAGCATGAGACTAGATAAGTCACGGGCCCAGAGGGAACCCAAATAGCAAAATATTGTTTGAATATAGCAATAGAATGTCTCCTAATGACATTCTGTTATACCCCTGGATCAGTGTCTCACTCATCCATCACCAGACAAGTTTCCTCTTGCAGTAGGTAGAACTAAAATAGAGACCAACAGCAGGAGGACATGCAGAGAGTGAGGGCCTTTGGAACCCTCAGTCCTATAAGGGCATCTTCATCAAACCCCTCCCTTCAGGACTTTGTGGAAGACGAGGCAGAAAAGTTGTAGAGCCAGTGGAGATGGGGACACCATGAACGCAGTGTCTTGTAGGTGGGTGCATACCACCCACGTGATGTCGCCGAGGTAGGCGACCTGCACAAAATCTGTCCAAGTTCAAGCCGGGCAGAGTTCCAGTAGCAGAGGAAAATGAGTGCAATCCCCCATCTCTGATGAAGATGCTGTCTCTGATTGACAGCCACGTACAGTGAAAAATACAAGCTTTCTCCGATGGAGTCCCCTGGGGGATATAAACTACACTTAAGGACAGGCCCCTTGGCCAGCACAAAACAAACTCAAACTCAGTGGTATTTTTGTCGATCTTTTCTTTCATATTGCTTTGTTTGCACATTAAAAAAAAAAAACCTTACTAGTCTTTTGCTTGTATATTATGGTTTCTGGTTTGTGTGTGTGTGTGTGTGGGGGGGGTATTTCTGTCATTTTTCAATGGTTTTTTTTTTTTGCTTGACTAATTAGCTTTATTTTTAAATTCTGGGTTTTTTTGTTTTGTTTTGTTTTTATTTGCTTCTTTGGTTTCTAAAGAGAGAGAGAAATAAGGCTTGGAGTTGGATGGGTGGAGACGTCGGGGAGGATCTGGGAGGAAATTAAGGAGGAGAAACCATGATCAAAATATATTTTATAAATTTCAGTAATAAAAAATGAACAATGGATTCCCTTATTGCCAACCACCTAACAGAGACTTGCCTGCTTGTCATGTAGGAATCTACATATAAGCTGTTAAAAAAAAACCTCTACTTTCCAGCTCATTGTTATTGTTATTGTCATATTTTAGACAGTGTCTCATTATGCAGCCCAGGCTGACCTAGAACTCACTATGCAGCCCAGGCTGGCCTAGAACTCACTTTGGAGCCTAGGCTAGCATGTAACCAATAATCCTTCTGTTTGGAATTTCTGGGTGCATCATTTCTATTTTGAACTCATTATTGGCTCTATCATCATCTAGAGTTTTTTTATACTGGAGTAACAGTTGTCCTGTCTGATTCTTCCTCCCAGTTTTAGTTTGGATAAGAAAGGGCCCTAAAACCTCCACATTTATGTGATGAAGGTTTAGTCTCCACCTTGAGAGGAAGTAGAACAAATTCTTCTTTTACTTCTCTATACCTGGAATGTTCTGGAACTTTTCTCATTTTTGTGCCATTGAAAATATTTCCCTTTAGTTCCCAGGAATCCACAAGGATGACCCCAGCTAAGAATCTAAGCAATAGTGGAAAGTGTTTGAACTGGCCTTGCCCTGTAATCAGATTGATGATTGCCTTAATTGTCATCATAGAACTGTCATCCAGTAACTGATGGAACAGATGCAGAGATCCACAGCTAAGCACTGGGCCGAGCTCCCAAAGTCCAGTTGAAGAGAACGAGAAGAGTTAATATGAGCAATGGGGTCGAGACCATGATGGTGATACCCACAGAAACAGCTGATCCGAGCTAGTGGGAGCTCACTGACCCTGAACTGACATCTGGGGAACCTACATAGGATCAAACTAGACCCTCTGAATATGGGTGACAGTTCTGTGAGTTGGGGAGTTTGTGGGGTTACTGGCAGTGGGACCAGAATTTATCCCTAGTGCATGAATTGGATTTTTGGAGCCCATTCCCTATCGAGGGATATTTTGCTCAACCTTGATACAGGGGGTAGGGCCTTGGTCCTGTCTCAGTGATGTGACAGACTTTTTGACTCCCCATGAGAGGACTCACCCTCTCTGAGGTGTGGATGGAGGGTGGGAGAGAAACGGGAGGAGGGAGGGAGAGGGAACTGTGATTGATATGTTAAATAAAAGATTGTTTAAAAAAAGGAAATATTTCCTTTTACCCCAAACTCCCTTTCTCTTTTCCTTGTTCCGTAGCTCAGATAACAGCTATTCAAGTCCATAATCATGTTCCATTGATTGGCTGTTAATTATCTAATGCTAGACCCCTTTTATAATAGGTACCCAAATCTTAGCTAAATTAAAGATGGAGCTTTCTCTTTCCACTACTTCCAAAGAATAGTTACTTTGAGATTATTTTTCTTTGAAAGCCTCCATTAATGCCACATCCATCCCTCAGGATCAGAAGTGAATGTTTTCATACGTGTTTGAATAGGGATAAACTCTCCAACACACATCAACCCTGTGATGAGTCCACGGCACTGACTACGTGGGTTCCATCAGCATATGTCGTATGTCATTTCCACCATGAGTTCAAAGAAGCAGCAGCTTCCTGACTGAAAGAGTCTGAGCTTTGCATGTAGCCCCGAATCTAGGTCTTGATTTGAAAATTAATCTCTTCTATGGGGCCTGGTTGTGAGGGGAGGAAGCGTTATACAAGGTGATTTGTCTCAAATAACCCATGTTGGAGATCAGAAGACATTCAAAGGCTGTGGCACTGGAGGCTGATCTCACATTCATGCTATTTTAACAACCTCCCCCTCACTCTGCTCTGCCCCCTGGCACCATATGCAGTTGACGTGCAAACACCGCATGGTGCAAGATTTAAAGTAATTCTAGTGTCTATTTCTAGCTGCACTGCCATAAGGCGTGCAAAAAGACAGACACTTCCTGGCAAGCGCCTTTGTCGTCAGCAGAAAGGGAAAACAGAAATACAGTGTTGGGGGAGATGTTCCGACATTCCTTTGGAAAAAAATCAGGCAGTGGCTTTAACTTAGACACAAACTCTGTTTAGTCCTATCTCCACCTATGTTCCTATTGGATTAAACACTGGAAAGCAAGAGCAGAAACTGGAAATAATTAAGTAACATCTGAAACTAAAGGACAGAGCTGTGCATAGTGTGGACTAAATAGGACCCCAGACATGATAGTGCCTGTCCAGAGAACGTAAGAGTGAGAATGGTTATTGTAGCCACCACTCTTTGGAAGATGTAAAATATATATAAGTTCTTTTTTTCCTGAACTATTTTAATAATTTGAAGGTCAAATCCTGACTTGTTGTTAGTATAACATTTCCCATCTCTTTGGCCACCGTGCTGGCTAGTTTTATGTCAACTGGACACAAGCTAAAGTCATTGGAGAACAGGGAGCTTCGGTTGAGAAAATGCCTTCATAAGATTCATAAGCTAGGTCTGTATACAAGCCTTTAGGGAATGTTCTCTTACTTTTTTTGTAAGAATTTTTTTTAATACCATCTTTTCTCATTTTATATAGCTATCCCCATTCCCACATCCTCCCCTTCTCTCACCCCACCCTTCCCCCTACTCCCCCATTCACTCCCCAGAAAGGGTAAGGCTTCCCATGGGGAGTCAACACAGTCTCACACATCTTAATTAGTATTTGACCTGTGAGGGTGCAGTCTATTGTGGGTGGTGCCATCCCTGGGCTGGTGGTCCTGGGCTCTGTAAGAAAGCAGGCTGAGCAATCCATGAAGAAGCCAGTAAGCAGCCCCCCTCCATGGCTTCTTCATCAGTTCCTGCCTCCAGGTCCCTGTCCTCTTGAGTTCCTGTCCTGACTTTCTTCAGTGGTGAACAATAAATAATCAGGAAGCAGAAGTCCAATAAACTCTGCCCTCCCCGAGTTGCTTTTGGTCATGGTGTTTCATCACAGCATACCCCTCATCAAGACAGCTACCAAACAGGCCAGTTAAGGACTCACACATTTTTCTTTATCAGTTTCAGAATCCTCCTGAAACACAGCTAATGAGGATGGCATTTTACTCACGTGTCACCTTTGAGAAGAGGCCCGAGGTGTGGAGAAAACTAGCTTCAGTCATAGCACTTCATATACAAAAATACATCTACATCTGTAGTGCAAGACCCACTGGTTCGACTACGCATGCATCCATCAGTGATTGGTGACAGTTCTAGATAATGCCATGTTTCCTTTTAGTGATGTTTCCCATGGCATGGCCTGTGGGAAATCAGTGGATGCATATGGTACCCGATGTCTGTCATCTCAAGCTGCTATAGCAAATGACCATTGGCTGGGCAGATCTCTCACAGTGCCTGAGGCTGGGAGTTCTAGATACAGCCCTCTTATGGGTTGTAGATTGCTTGTGTGCATGTCCTCACATGGGAGGGAGGGAGAGAGAGAGAGAGAGAGAGAGAGAGAGAGAGAGAGAGAGAGAGAGAGAGCGCCTTTCTCATCAGGAATGATGCGGGAGAATTGTCTGTATTCTGTCAATCATATTTTAATAAAACGCTGATTGGCCAGGCAGGCAGTATAGGCGGAAAAACCAGACAGGAAGTAGAGGTGATGCAATGAGAACAGGAGAATTCTGGGAAGCAGGGAGGTTCCTCTGCCATTCCTGCACAGACCACCGAAGAGGCAACATGTAAGCTGACAGCTGAAAAAGGTACCAAGCCATATGGCTACCATAGATAATAATAATGGGTTAAAATAAGTCATAAGAACTAATAAGTAGCATGATCTAATGGGCCAATCAGCTTTATAACTTATAGAAATCTCTGTGTGATTGATTTTCTTTGGAACTTGCCGGCTGTGGGGTACCAGGCAGGATAGAAACCCCAACAAGCTGGCCCTCATGTTACATGTCGGGATTTCAATAATTTGGGGGTGCATTATTAATTAGCATGGTATATAACTCTTTGGCATCATCCCTACCCCCATCCACAAGTTGTAAGTGGCTACTGGGGCTGCTGTTGGTTTTCTAATGCCAGAACTTCTCATATTAACATCTCTTTCAAGCCGCTATTGCCCTTGCTTGGGATGTTTCCACCTAACTTTTCCACTGACCAATTCATGTGATTCCTTTGCTTCAAACCTCAACGTAAAACCACTGAGTTTGGGAGGCTTAACAGGCAAACTATGTTAAGGGTTGTAATTAGACAATTAATTATTAATTCTGGTTAAATATTAGAAGCATTGATGGGAGGGGTCTAAAGTCACTAATAACAGCCTGGCAGTAGAGGAACTAGAATCTCTGAGGTGGCATTGGGCATCAGGACACTAGCAGTATCCCTGGTGATCTTGACTTGCAGCCAGCATCCAACAACTGCCTTCACGGACACGATTTCTTGCCGTCTCTAGGGTGAATGCTGGTTCTCTGTCTTTCTTCATTAGTGGATCGTGCTAGAGTGGAGAGTCTTCTTCATCAGAAAATGTCCATCTGAAATTCTCATAGGAAGGAAGAGAGAAAACCAGTTTTCAGCATGCTGCCCCTCAGCTCCAGGAACACAGGCAGACAGGACCGGGGCTGCCCCTCACCCCCAGGAGCACAGATGGACAGGACCGGTGCTGCCCCTCACCCCCAGGAGCACAGGCGGACAGGGCTGGAGAAGCACCGTTCTTTCTGGCTAATCTAGTTCCTAAGTTTCTACACCTGGAGGCTGAAACGATGCCAGAGTTGAAGAGCCAAACAGGGCTTCTATGCGCCCTCCCAACTGTGCTCCTACATTGGGTTTCCTCACCTCACCTGCTTATTCCCAGGGGCCCTGGACTCTTTCTTAATGCCTTTTCCTCCCCATCTCTCCCTTTCCCTTCCCTCCTCCAATCCTACCTCTAACCTCATCTGACTCTGGTCTAAGCTGTTGTGGTTCCTTCTGTAATCTTGCAAACAGAGCCCACCTCTGCCGTTAGTCTTCCTGTCCCTGTCCCTTTCAGACGATGCTGGGCCCTGAAGACAGAGTGATCTAGTTAAAATGTAATTCAGAGGCCAGTGAGCTGGCTCAGCGGGTAAGGGTGCTTGCCTCCCAAGTCTGCTGACCTGAGTTCAGTCCCCGGAATCTACATGGTAGAAGGACAGAACTGACTTTTGTGAACTGTTTTCAGTTTTTGTGGCAAACAGAAAGACAGACAGACAGACAGACAGACACACACACACACACACACACACACACGTGTGCACACACACAAGAAGTAAGTAAAAATGTAAATAAAAATAGAAGTCATATTTTTCTTAGAAGGCCCCAGTGTCTTCTATTTCACAGAACAGATACCAAGCACCTTCAGAAGCTTTAGATGCCCATACAACTAAGTCTTCATTGTTTCTGTCTTTACCTGCTACCAGAGTCCCCTTAGTGCCCTGGGCCTGTCTTCAGTCTCTTTGTTCATCCGCAAATGTCTGTTTCAGGACCTCTGCCCTGCCTTCCACCCGGAACTCTCTGTCCCCATGTGTCCACCCCATTCAGGACCCCCCTGCACTGTCTTCCGCCCGTAACCCATGTTCCCATGTGTCCACCGCACACTTCCTTACCTCTCTTGAGAATTTCCTGAAGTGTCACCTTCCCAGCCAGGTATACCTTGACAACCCTACTTAAGCAGGACAGTCCCCAACAGCCATGGTGCAGTTCTGCTGTGGGAAAGCCGAGGATGGACTGCGTGCAGACTCTTCCAATAGCAGAGGCTGGGCTGGACCATGGTGCTGAGGTCCAAAGGGCAGAAGGAAGTGATTTTTTTCTGCACACTGACTCGGACAACACTTTTCAAAATCATTTTGGAAACCATTATTTCTCACACATTAGCATTCTTGAACTTCTATTTTTGGTGACCTTCAGACCACAGTGAGTGCTCCCATTTCTACACTCCTGTCTCTTGGTTTGGGTTACAGGTCAAGAATTGAGGTGGGGGGTGGAGGCTTGCTTCACAGGGGCTAATTTTCTGTTTGCAGCTCCCTTCTTTTCCCCTCTCTGACTTACTTCCCGGAAACTCCAACCTCCAGCCCAGCATTGTTTTACCCTATGGTCTCTGCCAATAAGGAGCAATGATAATGATTCTGCAACTTTACAAATGACAGTCAAAAACTTTACGGAGAGTACACGAGTCCAGGTCTTCTTGGCTCACCACTCTTCTTACAGCCCAATAACTCCCGAGCCCAGGGCCATCAAGAAGCAGGTCGCGGGGGCAGGCCTTTGAGTCCAGTGCCAGAAAGGCTGAGGCAGGAGAGTCATGAGGTTAAGGTCAGCCTGGAATACACAGAAAGACTTATAAAAGGAGAGAAGGGGAGGGTTGGGGGTCTTGAGGCTTGCTCTGAATGTCAAAGCAAGCCTGTGCAAATAAGCACACATCCATCTCATAGGCTCATGCTGTTCTTTAGTAACCATGGCATCTGAGATGAATATGCCAGAACTCACCTCAGCTCATCTCTATCTTCAGAGATCTTGCATCCAGGGAGAATCCTGATAGTAGCAATCCTGATCGTAGGTTAATGTGTATACCGAGGGACTGGGAGTCAGATAGATCCCCAGCAGGCAGACAGGGAGCAGATTTTCTAGGTAGATTAGTGTGCTTTTAATTTAAACATTTAAGATTCTCTCCCTCTCCAAAACAAAGACACAAAAGTCGAGAGCACAAAGAAAAAGCAGAGAACAAAGCAGATGTGGGGAGAGGCTTAACTCAATGCCTGACCCAAGTGACAGACTTTCAATGGCAGAGAACCACCTCCTAATCAGAACCACCAGCCAGTGGCTAAGTATTCAGAGGTGTGTGCCTACGCAGGACAGCTGTCATTCAAATCATGACAGGGTTTGTTTTCGCTTGTGGTTCCAGAAGGATGGTGTCCATCATGGTGGGAAAGGCCCAACAACAGTCAAGGAAAGCGTGGAGGCGGGAGTAGGAGTTGGGCAATCACATTTTGATTCACACACAGGAAGCAGATGAAAGGCTAAACCCCTCAAAGTCCACCTCCAGTGATGAACTTCCTCCAGCAAGGCTCCACCTCCTGATAGTTCCATGACCACCTACCTCCAAACAACACCACAGCTGTTAATAGAGTCCAGATACATAAGCCTATGACATTTCTCCCTCAAACCCCCACATAATCAAGGCAGTGGGTTGCTACAATGAAAACCTTATGATCAGAGTGGAGAGTGAAGAAATAAGCCTTTCATTTGTAATACAGGTTCAAGCTCACCTATTTAGACATCCGGATTATTTCTAGTGCTTGACTATTACATACGTGACCTTTGTGAATCTCTTTAACAAGTGTTGTGTGAACATGTTATCTCATTTCACATGAATAAATACATGTGAGTGGAGGGGCCTTCTCAGATGATAGCTTAATGTTTTGTTCTCCCCGGTGGGATAACTACGGAGCACAAAAGTTACCATTTTGGCCCTCTTAAGTGAGCATTTAGCCATATTAAAGTAGATCAACTTTGATGTGAAGCACATTTCCACCTTGCTAGTTTGAAATTTGATGCCTGCAAAACAGTTCTCCTCCTCCTTTCCCCAGTCCTTACTGACCAGTATTCTTTCTGCTCCTACAAATTAGCCTGTTTTGAAAACTTACATTGATAATATTTGTTTTTTGGGTTTGTGTGTGTGTGTGTGTGTGTGTGTGTGTGTGTGTGTGTGAGAGAGAGAGAGAGAGAGAGAGAGAGAGAGAGAGAGAGAGAGAGAGAGAGAGAGAGATGCTTATTTCATTTAGCACAGGATCCTCCAGGTTCCTCCATATAGTATTAGGCAGGACGGGGCTTCCTTTCTTCACAGTACTAAATACTATTTCAATGGATGAGTGGATTTTATTTAATCTGTTTTTTAAAAGACTTGTTTAGTTCTGTTTTACATGCTTGGGTTTATTGCTTACATGAATGTCTGTACATATATAAGCCAGAAGAGGGCATTGATACCCTTTGAAACCAGAATTACAGCTGGTTGTGAACCATCATGTGAGTGCTAGGGATTGCACCTAGTGCCCCTGCACCCACCCCACCCCAGGATAGCGGTGTGTGCTCTTAACTGCTGAGCCATCTTTCCAGCTCTCTTGTTTAATCTTTTATACACTGATGGAAATGAGGGTTGATTCTACCTTTTTGTAGGCAGAACTTTTCTGTCCCACCAGACAGCTCCCAAATAATCACACAGAGACTTCTTTTTAATTAGAAATGCTTGGCTGATAACTTAGGCTTGTTGTTAACTAGCTCTTACAGCTTAAATTAAGCAATATTTCTTATCTACCCTCTACCACGTGGCAGTACCTTTTTTTTTTTTTGCATGGCATGTTCATCTCCTGTTTCCCCTTTCTTCTGTTTCCTGACTCCGCCCTCTTTCTTCTTCCCAACATTCTCTTAGTCTGGCTTTCCTGCCTAACCTCTTTCTGCCTAGCTATTGGCCAGTCCGCTCTTTATTAACAATGAAAGCAACACATCTTCACAGTGTGCAAAAGGGTTATTCTATAGCACCCGTTAGCTGTTGAATCCTGCTATTAATAGCCTGTGTATGTTAGGACTTCTTCATGTAAGTTCAACTTTTCCAGAAACTGCCACTCTTGTTCCTGAAGTGATTATATCAGCTTACATTTCCACCATCAGTGTACAGAGATGTCACTCCATCCTCATCCACTTTGTGTTGATAATTTTTGGTTAGTATAGTAAGCACAACTTCAATTCTCACTTCCCTAGTCATTCACATGTCTTTTCTGCCTACTTTCTCTGAGAAGTCAAGGATCTCTTGTGAAACAACGCGCTGGGTGGAGACCCTCCCAGAGTCCAAGCTCCTTGTGTTAGTGCTCCTGCTAAAGCTAGGCTGGACAGTGGTTCTGAGGGCCGAGAGTGGGCATGTTCCTTCTTTCAGTTGACCATCACAGCGGCCTTCTCTCTAAATGTAGTCTGGGTTGTGTGTTCACATCTTTGTGAGAGCTTGATGTTAATTTGTGTGTTTTCCTTTTGAGTTCAAGAATTGTTGCTGTATTTCTGATTCATGTCCTTTGTCAGTGATATGACACACAATATGATTTCAAATATTTTCTCTTGCTCTGTAACTTGCTATTCTAATGGCATACTTAATGGAACAGTTTATTTTTAATAATGCTAAAATTATTAAATTTTGTCTTTATGACTGGTATGCTTGGTGTCTTATCTAAGAAAATATTACTTTAACACAAAGTCATGAAGAATTTTCTAGGTTCTTTGGTAAGGGTCTGGTCCCTATAGGTAATCTCAACTTTAGGTCTATGATATACCTGAGTCAAACATGGGACAAAACTTGTAATTTTGTATACTGGTATTTAATAATTTTAGCATACATTATTGAAAATAAACTATTTAACCACAGAATTATCTTTGTCAAAAGTCATTTATCCACATGTCTACATGTCTGTTTCTGAACTTATCTGTTCAATTTAATTTGATACTTTTCATGTATCTTTATATTATTGTCATACATTGTCTTAATTACTATAGTTTTAAGTCTTAAAATTAAGTAACATTGGCCAATGATTGCTCTTTATTTTCAGTTTCTAAAATTAGTATTATATAAATTTGTGTTAGAAAAAACTGAGATCCTTGGTTCACTCATGTGGTAACCAACCCCACTGAGGCTGAGGCCCTGGCACTGAAGGTCGTAGAGCTGGCTGGTAGGAATGGGGCACAGAGAGCAGGTGATCCTGCTAGAGCAGCTGAGAGAGAAGGCGTCAGTTCACAGTAGATGGCACATCTTGAATACATGCGGACAGCCCAGAGGTCCTGTGAGTCCCAGGGCGGGCTGAGTAGCTTACTGGAGCGTGTTTTGTTTTCAAGCATGATCTTTTCAAACATCACCATCCGTGCTACAATGAAGAATGAAAAGTCGAATTGAGAGATTGGCAGAAAAGATTCAAAATATTTGTGTTTGTTCAGGGAGCTTGATGAACAATACAGGGCTCAGAGGGAACAGATTCATTTCAACCTCAGGACAACACGATTCAAGAATATTGGGAGTGGGCTTTATGTTGAGTGGATTGTTTGGCATTTTGAAAACATATTTGGCTACTATACAGATGACAGATTATAGGTGACCTTAAAAATCTTATCTGCCAATTTCGAGGAAAAGGTATATTTTCCCCAAATCATTTTGGTTTAGCTAGTTTTGATTACCAACTTGACAAAGCCTTGAGTCATCAGAGAGAAGTGGGGAGGGATTTGCCTAGATCAGATTGGCCTGTGGCTTGTCTATGGTGGGCTATCTTGATTATTAATGTATGCTGGAGTGTCTAGCCCACTGTAGGCAGTACAATTTCCTGAGAAGATTGTCTTGGGCTGTATAGGAAAGATAACTGGGCATGAACTTGCTTGAGTCAGTTATCAGGCAGCACATTCCATGGTTCCTGCTCTACCTCTCAAATTGTGAAGGAGTTCAGAATAAGTAGCTTTCCTTCAAATTTCTGCTTGAGTTCTTGCTCTGACATCCATGAGGGATGGACTGTAGCTTGTAAGTTTGTTTTGCAAGTTTCTTTTAAGTTCCGTTTGGTTCTGGTATTTGTCACAGGAGCAAAATGAAAACAGAACATATCTCAACCACAGGCTGCTAAGAAGCAGAATGCATTGAGTTTGTCTTACTAATGTCATTGGTACAGTGACTCTCCAATGAGGGGTTTAGAGAACAAACCGAAACCTTCCCTTTGAGCGTCACTAGCTTTGTAAACCTCTAGAACCAGGACTAGGATGATCTCC